ACTTACCTTTGCCCTTCCGCACATCATGTAGAGGTTCCTACATGGAACACTCAGCCGTTCCACTCCTTCATTTCCAGACCTCATCACTCAGTGCACACCACCATGATCCACTATACTTGCCCATCTCTCCTTCACTGACAGAGCTCAGCATGGAGCAGGTCTCCCCTCCCTTCATTTAGACTCTACCTCTGTTAATGCAACCTTAGACAGAACCAACCTCTCAAAGAGCGGCAAATAGAGAAGATATAAGTTGTGAATGGTTTAAGGACCTGAACTGGTTAAAGGAAAGAGCTGTAAAGAGGGAAGCACAGTGTGTAATATCTGAAAAAAATGATTTGGGGTTAGGTCGATGTGGGTCTTGTTTGCTGCACCAAGGAGTTTGGACTTGAGGAAGGAAGAGGGGGCCGCAGAGAGTTCTGAATCAGGGTAATGATGCAGCCAGGTGAGTTGTGCTTCTGGAAGAGCCATGCTGGGTTCTGTTCCTGGCCTCGTCCCTAATTAGTGTTCGCTGGCCTGCTCTGGCTCCAAGTCAAGGTGGGGCGGGGGGAGGCCCTGTGCTGAGGCAGGTGGTGAGTAGCTGCTGCAGGCACAGAGGCACCGCGGAGCAGAGAGGCCTCCCGAGCTGCAGCTCCGCTGGTTCCTCCGCGATTCCACGATTCCACGAGGGCAATGAGGCTTGTATTAATGAGAGGCAATTACCGGCACCCGGACGGCCTAAGTATAGCTCATTGACAAAGGCAGCCCGCTGTGCTCCGCAGGTCAAGGCTGCCTATTTTAAGACCTCCCCAAAGCTGAGGCTCCTGCCACCCCTGAGTGTTGGGTGACAGAGGAGTTGGCGCCCAGCGAGCCAGAAGCCCCAACTGAGGGAACCAGAGTGACGACGCTCAGACCATCTTCACACAAACCCCCGCTGCCTAGAGGGGGACACTGAGGCTCAAAGCGGGGAAGGGACTAGCCAGTGGCTACAGCAAGAAAAGAGCAGAGCCAGGATTTGAATCCAGGTCCCTGTGCTGTGCAGCTGCCTCCACCTGAAGCCTTGGGCTGTCCCCAAGAGCACAGCAGAAGGTGGGGAGGAAGGGGTGGGGACTGGCCTTGATCAGGCACCAAAGTGCCACAATTCGTCCTCAATATAATCTTGAGAAGTAAGATCATCTTGCCCATGTCATAGAAGAGGAAACTGAGGTTCCGAGGGAATCATAAGACTGCCAAATGTCCTGCAGGGAGGAAGCAGAGAAGGAATCCACTGCCATCGTGCCTCAGCAGGCTCCCCAGGAAGCCTGGAGGACCCCAGGATGCACACAGGGGGAGATGCAGAATCGGGCAGGGGAGGCGGCGGGCCTCACTGCCGTCACAGAGTCACTCAGGACGAAACGGGCGAGCTACCCATCCTAGTGCCCAAGCAACCACCAGTGATGGGATCAGGCTGCCCCTGGGAAAGGAGCGGAGCCCTGGAGAGGCATCTCTCCTTTGGCTGAGAGCATTGTGCAGCAGGAACGTGGCCGAGAAGAGTGGTCTTAGCAGCCAGGAGCTGGAGAGCATTAGTCCGAGGGGACCTGGGTGGCCACAAGGCATCCCCTGCAAGTTCCTCTCACTCCACCCAGGGAGCCCTCAGCAACATGGACTCAGTTTCTTTGTGGAACTATCAGGCCAGGGGGTGCTGGGGGAGAAAGTCCCTCAGGGTTAATGAGGCAGGAAAGAGCAGGTAAGTGGTCCCACCCGGGGAAAGGAAAACACCACCCAGAATCTGTAGGTCCAGGTGCGGTGCAGAGACGGCTGAGGTAGGGTGTCTCAAGTTTGAGCCCAGCCTGGGCAACCTAGTAAGACCCTGGCTCAAAAGAGAAAATAAAAGGGCTTGGGATGTAGCTCGGTAGTAGAGTACCTACCCCTGGATTCGATTCCCAGTACCAAAACAAACAACAACAAAAAAAAAAAAAAATTTTTTTTTTTTGTCCCTATACGGACAGAATAGAAGAAAATATTTGCAAATCATATGTATGAAAAAGATTTAATATCCAGAATATATAAAGAACTCCTCAAACTCAACAACAAAAATGGCCAACAACCCAATTATAAAACAGGCAGAGGACTTCAATAGACATTTCACCAAATAATTCATACAAATAGCCAATAAGCACATGAAAAGATGATTCACACCATGAGTCATCAGGGAAATGCAAATCAAAACTACACTGAGCTGGGCGTGGTGGCACACACTTATAATCCCAGTGGCTCAGGAGGCTGAGGCAGGAGGATCTCCAGTCCAAAGCCAGCCTCAGCAATTTAGCAAGGCCCTAAGCAATTCAGCAAGACCCTGTCTCTAAACAAAATATAAAAACAGCTGGGGATAGATATGGTTCAGTGGTTAAGCACCCCTGGTACCAAAAAAAAGAAAAGAAAGAAAGAAAGAAATTACCAGCAGCTGGGAGAAGGGGGAAGATTACAATTGCTGCTGAATGCACACAGAGTTCCTGTTTGGGATGATGAAGAGGTTTTAGAAATAGACAGTGGTCGTGTTTGCATGACATTGTAAATGAACAAAATTGTACATTTAAAATGGTTAAAATGGCAAATTTTATGTTATTTATATTTAAAAATAAAACCTATGGGAAAAGGGGACTCCATGGAGACGGAGAGCACACTGGAGGCTGGGAAGGGGCCTTGGGGACGATTGCTTAGTGGGTACAGAATGGTACAGAATTTTCTGTGGGGTTATGAAAAAGTTTTAGAACTAGATGGAGTGGTCATTACACAGTACTGTGAATGTACTAAATGTCACTGGACTGCACACTGTAAAATGGCTAATTTCATGTTATATGATTTTCTCCTCGATTAAATAAAATGGGGGAAAACTATGGAGAAATAAAATCTATGAGCTGCAGCCAAATAGGCATTCCGGGGGAAATTTTTAGCCTTTCTTTGACACATTTATTGGAATATAAGGATGTCAGAGAGTGAATGAGCTAGGTTTCCAACCTAAAAAGGTGGGAAAGGAGCCAGGCACAATGGTCCACACCTATAATCCTAGCTACACAGGAGGCTGAGGCTGGAGGATAGTAAGTTTGAGGCTAGCCTCAGCAATTTAGCAAGACCCTTTTTAAAAAATAAATTTTAAAAAAGAAAGGGCCATGCCTGGAATCCCAGCAGCTCAGGAGGCTGAGACAGGAGGATCGCGAGTTCAAAACCAGCCCTAGCAACAATGAGGCACTAAGCAACTCAGTGACACACCTTTAAATAAAATAGAAAATAGAGCTGGGGATGTGGCTCAGTGGTTGAGGGCCCCTGAGTTCAATCCCTGGTACCCCCCGCCCCCAAAAGAAAGAAAATGTCCTGGACCCAGCTTTGACGGGGATGATAGGGAAGTAGTTTCCAGGAAGCAGTTTGAACCCTAGAACTGCACTGTCCAATCACAGACAATAAACTAGCAAACAAGCAAGTGTGTAGGAGTTTCCAAGACTGAAGAGAATATGAAGAAACTGAGCAGGGCAAGGATCCTGGCTGACAGGTGGAGAGCAGAAGGTGGGTGAGGCTGGCGGAGCTGGCAGGGCCCACTTTGCTGAGGCACCTCATCCTGCCTTCCTGTCTTGCCTCCTGTCTGCACCTCAGCTGGTGGCGTCAGCCCCAGCACTATCCTCTGCTGGGAAACCCTGGAAGCCAGCTAGTCCAACTTCCCCATTTTATAGGTAGGTAAACTGAGGCACAGTGACTGCACCCAAGTGCCACTGCTTTGTGAGACCTTGCTCTGTTCTCAACTCTGGGAACTGTTCCAAGCTGTCAGTGCTTCATCTCAATTTGGAAATGATGGGCTGTGAGCTTATGGGTCTCGTTGGTCAGAGACCCCCAACACCTGGCCTGAGTTCCATCTCAGATTTAGTGAGGGATAGAGCAGATTTGGACAGAGGGTTTATATTTGACATAAGGATTCCTCTGCTTATCCAAATGAAAAGTTGGAAAACGTGCTCCTACTGCAAGTAAGACAAGCCCCTGTCTGGGTCCCACTCTTTTATTTATTTATTTGGCACCTGGGATTGAACTCAGGGGCACTCAACCTTGCTAAGTTGCTGAGGCTGGCTTTGAACTCATGATCCTCCTGCCTCAGCCTTCTAAGCTTCTGGAATTACAGGTATGTGCCACCACACCTGGCTTTGGTCCTTTTTTTTTTAGCAGGGCTTGAACTCAGGGGCACTCAACCACTGAGCCACATCCCCAGCCCTATTTTGTATTTTATTTAGAAACAGGGTCACACTGAGTTGCTAAGCACCTCACCATTGCTGAAGCTGGCTTTGAAATGACGATTGTCCTGCCTCAGCCTCCTTAGTTGCTGGGATTACAGGTGTGCACCACTTCGATCAGCGGTCCTATTCTTTAAAGGCCTCTCTGACTCTCTGAAGGGCTTTGTTCTTTCCCATAAGACAAGAATTATTCAGGAGACCAGGGGACATGCCCACTGAAGCCCACACGCCTCTAGGCTGCACCCTGGATACTGGGGACCCTGGGATTCTCTGTCTAAATGACCCTACACTGCTCCCAGGGCCAATGTGGGATCTCCCCAGGGGAGACCAGACCTCCTGGGGACCATTCATGCTGTTGGAGCAGGTGTGGACAGGGCCTGGACTGGGTTGGGATACACTGGTCACTGCTCCTCATGATGAGAGACAGACTCCACGTGGAAAAGGCTGGGGCGGGAGCTGTCCTGTTCCCACCCGCACTCTACCATGGAATTCGGAGGATGGGGGAGCTCTGCTCAAGGGGCTTGCGGGTTATGATGAAGATCTATGCATCCAGCTGGGAGAGGAGAGGTGGTCTGCCAGCAGGTGGCTGGCGGCAGCCATCACCTCACTGACACCAGAGGGCGTGGCCTCCCCGTGGGTTCTCCTCCTCCACCCCACATGGCAAGGGCAGACTCCCTGACTTTGGTCCCCCAATGCTGAGGTCCGTCCTTCCTGGCACCCTGGCCCTCCGAATCCAGCTGAGCCGCTGAGCCCTCTCTTCTTCTCTCCCTAGGACAGCAGCCGCCCGGGAGCAGTGACCCGGGCGCCCCGCTAGGGCAACGGCCCCGCCCCACGGGCCGGGATCATGAAAGGCCTCGGTGACAACCGCCCCCGCCACCTTTCTGACAGCCTGGACCCGCCACATGAGCCCCTGTTCGCAGGGCCTGATCGCAACCCCTACCTGCTTTCGCCCACGGAGGCCTTCACCCGCGAGGCCCGCTTCCCCGGGCAGAACACCCTCCCAGGGGACGGTCTCTTCCCGCTCAACAACCAGCTGCCGCCGCCCAGCAGCACCTTCCCCCGCATCCACTACAACTCCCACTTCGAGGTGCCAGAGGAGAGCCCGTTCCCCAGCCATGCCCAGGCCACCAAGATCAACCGGCTGCCCGCTAACCTCCTGGACCAGTTTGAGAAGCAGCTGCCCATCCACCGCGATGGCTTCAGCACCCTCCAGTTCCCCCGAGGTGAGGCCAAGGCCCGCGGTGAAAGCCCTGGCCGCATCCGCCACCTGGTCCACTCTGTCCAGAGGCTTTTCTTCACTAAGGCACCCTCACTGGAGGGCACAGCAGGCAAGGTCGGTGGCAATGGCAGCAAGAAAGGTGGCATGGAGGACGGCAAGGGCCGGAGGGCCAAAAGCAAGGAGCGGGCCAAGGCTGGGGAACCCAAACGGCGCAGCCGCTCCAACATCTCAGGCTGGTGGAGTTCTGACGACAACTTGGACGGCGAGAGTGGCGCCTTCCGCAGCAGCGGCCCAGCCTCCGGGCTGATGACGCTGGGCCGCCAGCCTGAACGCACCCAACCGCGCTACTTCATGCATGCCTACAACACCATCAGCGGGCACATGCTCAAGGCTGCCAAGAGCAACACTTCCGACCTGACTGCCCCACCACCCCCGCCAGCACCCCCCGCCACCTGCCCGAGCCTTGGGGTGGGCACTGACACCAACTATGTCAAACGGGGCTCCTGGTCCACTCTGACCCTCAGCCACGCCCATGAGGTCTGCCAGAAGACCTCGGCCACCTTGGATAAGAGCCTACTAAAGTCCAAGTCATGCCACCAGGGTCTAGCCTACCACTACCTGCAGGTGGGTGTCTGCCAGGGTTGGGGTGGGACGAAGGCTGGGGATAGGGGCACTAGTTTTGAGGCCTGTCTTGTACTGCAGATTTACTTGGGAAGTTGCTTCATTCTGAGCCTCAGCTATGAAATGGGCTTCTGGTAGTACCTTCTAAAAGAGGATTCATTTGGGCTGGGGTTGTGGCTCAGCAGTAGAGCACTCGCCTAGCATGTGTGAGGCCCTGGGTTCCATCCTCAGCACCACATTAAAAAAAAAAAAACATGAATAAAGATATTGTGCCCTTAGAAGGCAAATCTAGAAACTGTGCCATCCCATCCCCCTCCTGCCTCCTGCCCACCACTTCCATCAGACTGGCAGCTCCTTGAGGACAAGGACCACATCTGATGCAGCCATGTGTCCCTGGGGTCAGGCATGGAGGAAATGCTCAGGAAATGTGGGAAGGATAGACGGACAAATGGACAATTCTACTAACACAGTCCTGATGATCAGGATGCTGGGAGAGGAGTCAGAGTGGGAGGTGGCCAGCACTGAGGGCTGCCAGCCCTGGGGGCCTGACTCAGCTGGGGGGTGTCTCTTCTTTCACATGCTAATGGCTATTGAGGCTGATGTACCAAGGCCACACAGCTTCAAACTGGCAGAAGGCTCAGAGACATCACTGCTGCTGCACAGTCCCAGGGGCTCTCAAGGGCAGGGCGAGGGGCTGTGAAATGCTTGTTGGGGGTGAGGGTGCAGAGCCACACCCAGTGCTGTGCGTGGAAGTTTCAGGAAACAAATCACAAATGAAAGGCACTGCCTCTGTAGGTAGTGAGCAGCTCATCCAGGGGGTGTGCAAGCAGAGACCTGGTCAGCGCTGGGGAAGTCATATTAAATGCATTTTGACTGAGATGAACTTCAGGGTTTGACAGAGCCCTGAGTTCTTGTCATTCTGTATAAAACTCCAGAGACAGACTATGGGGGGGGGGGGAGATTTTTTCTTTTCAATAGGAGGAGGTTGAAAGCTAGGCAGCTTTTTAACTGTATTGGGGACCTCTGGGGCTTTCAGTCTGCCTCCTTAGTTTAGACATCAGGGAGCATGGTGCATGGCCTGGCTCCCTCTCAAAACAGTGTGGTTGGATCTGATCAGGTGGAAATGCATCCATAACACCATAACTGGGGCTTGTGCTGCCTGCTTGGGTGACAGCGAGCAGGTAGTTAGAAACACGGTCTGAACTTTGAAAAAATGCCTGAGAGCAATCACCTCAAAAGAGAAAACATACATTTTAGCACATAGTTTCAGTCCATGATCATTTGATTCTCGTTTCTGAGCCTGTGGTGAGGCAGAGCATGGTGGCAGGGAGCATGTGGTAAAGCCAAGCAGTTCACCTCATGTTAGCCGGGAAGCAAAAAGAGGGAGGAGAAGAAAGGGGCCAGGGACAAAATATTCCCTTCAAGGGCACACCCCCAGTGATCACTTCCTCCAACAGCGATCACTTCCCCCACCTCCCAACAGTCCATTAAGCTATGAATCCATCAGTGGATGAATCCATTAATGAGGTCAGAGTCTTCATGGTCCAATGACGCCCAAAGGTTGGGGGATATTTAAAATCCAAACCGTAACAGATGCACAAGGCCTCATTCCTTGTGGGCAGTGGGGATAGACTAGCTAAGATTTGGGGAGGTAGAATTTGCAGACCATGGTGACTGGCTAGGCAGTCAGCAGGGGGAGTTATGAGAAGGCTAAGGGGGCCTCTGGGGTGGGGTCATCCCAGACGGGACCCTGTCAATTCATTGAGGGCATAAAGAAGTCTGGGTGCCTGTGTGGGAGTGTGCATCTGTGCCATGACAGAGGGTGTGCTTGCTGTGTACCCTGGAACATGTGGTCTGGGTGTCTGTGGTGAAGTGTGCAGCCCTGGCAGTGGCACCTGTGTGTGGCAGGGAGGACACAGTGAGGTGGGAGCATGGTGAGAGGTGTGTTCAAGTGCAGGGGTTGCTGGTGAGAGTAGAAATGTGCGGTGTGAAGTGCGCCTGCCCTGTGTGCTGGTGTGTCCAGGTGAAGGGGTGCACTGAATGAACCGGCTGCCGGTGTGTGTCACTGAGGAGTGTATGGTGTGCTGGGGGCACTTACTAGGAGCCTAGAGAGGATGGTATGCCTGCTCTGTGTGTGTTGAGATATGTGGACACAACAAAGCCCCAGCTCTGAGTTCTGCAGCATGGAAGCGCTGAGATGTGCATATCAAGTCCCCTGTGTGTACGTAACAGTGTAAGTGACAGGAGAGTTACACTGTGTGCATTGCCCCAGAGCAGCCAGCAGAGCCTGCCCTCAGAAGGGCAAGAGGTCCCCTCAGCTGTTACCTCCACCATAACCTCTGGAGACCAGCCTGCCCTCAAGCTGTGGCCTCACTTGCCTCTATCCTGGCCCTGTTCCCTGGGTGCAGCCCCTGGGCTCAGATGGTAAACAGCCCTTTTTCCAGCTTGCCATATGGCTGCCGCTTCCAGGCAAACATTCTGTTCTCCATACCTCAGTTTCCCCATCTGTGAGGCAATGAATGTTGACTCTGGGTCCCCACCTCCATGCTGATGTGCCAGGGACCCCTGACCCCCATTCTAGGGTCAAGCTGTGCTTTTGGGTCTGGAAGCCTCTCTGCTAGTGACACCTCAGGCCTGGTGTCATCCATGCAGTGGGATCACAGGCCATCCCCTGGGATGACATAATGAAATGATGGGAGGTAGTGACTGCTGTAGAGGCCACTGGGACCCCAGGGCCTTGGAGTAGTTTTGCTGGGGCAAACCCAGCTAGGATCCATAGAAGGGTTCAAGACTCGTTCAAGGGCATACAATAAAGCTGGGACAGAAGCAGTTCTTGAACCCAGAAATCCCTCCGGGCCCAAGGCTCTGCTCTGACGCTGTGGTTTCAACGACAGTAAAGCAGCATAAGAAGACCCAACTCCCCGAGGTGGGGAACAATCCTTCGTGACCCATTTTCCAGGTGATGAGCCCGGGGCCTAGCTGTCCCCCGCACTCCTGCAGAGTCCTAACCCCCGATATCCCCAGGTGCCCGGCGGCGGTGGAGAGTGGAGCACCGCGCTGCTATCCCCCCGCGAGGCGGATGCCACCGCCGAGGGTCCCATCCCGTGCCGGCGCATGCGCAGCGGCAGCTACATCAAGGCCATGGGTGACGAGGACAGCGACGAGTCTGGCGGCAGCCCCAAGCCTTCACCCAAGACCGCAGCGCGGCGCCAGAGCTACCTGAGGGCCACGCAGCAGTCACTGGGAGAGCAGAGCAACCCACGCAGGTGACCGTGCCGCCCCGCCCCCTGGGGTCCCGCCCACAGGCGAGCCCTGCCCTCTCGAGTCCTGCGCTCTAAAAGGACCACCCTCGTAACGGGAGCCCCGCCCACGTGCTAGCCCCGCCCCTTCAGGTGCGACCCTTGTGCCGCGAGCTCTCACCCGGGGAAGGCCTCTCTCAGCAGGTGCAGACAAGCCCCTAGGTGAGCCTCTGCAGGTATGCCCCGCCCCCGGAGCCTCGCCTCCCTCTCCTGGGCCACTCCAGGAGAGCCCAGCCCCACAGTGAATCCTGCCCCTCCACCTCAGATCCAGGCAACTGCTCCTATAAGATCCACATACTTAGGCTGCTCCTGCACTCATCTGATAAGTTATCCCGGAAGATCCCCACCATGAACCATCCATGAGTCCCACCCACAGTTAAGTCCTGACCACAGGTGAGCCTCATCCTTTGGTAAACCCCGCCCATAATGAGAACCTCGCTGGGATGAACGGTCCAGGTAAACTCTGCCACAGGAGCCACATCCCCAGGTAAGTTCCACCCCACAGGGGACTGCCCCAGAGGATCCTTTCTTCAGCTTGGGCACCCCTGCCCTTCCTTAGTGAGCCCATCATATGTCCCAGCCCTGCCCATAGAAGGACCCTCTCTGTGCTGGGCTCCAGAATTGGGGAGGGGAGCGAAAACAGAGTCAAAGAGACATAGCCAGCCTCTGCATGTCCCAACACTCTGCCTGGAACTCCACCACTGGAGACTTGGGAGAATTAGAGGAAACAAGCTTATTCTGGTCTTCAACTCCTGGGGCCTGAGCCAAGGCTTGTTGGAGGAGGTAGCCTGGGCCTGAGGGAAGGGAATAGCTCAGGCAGGGGTCAGTGAGACAGGAAGTGGGCAGTGTACTCAGAGCAGTCAGGAATCTGACTGGGGCAGAAGGCAGGAAATGGTCTCCAGGTTGCAGCCATCTCTGAGCCTCAGTTTTCCAGTGTTTAAGTGAGGGGCTCAGCAGAATGACCCTGAGGCCCTTTCTAGTCCTGAGAACCTGCCATTCTATGAGTGACCAGTGAACATTAAGGTGGAAGAGGCAGGCAGGACCAGGGCATAGGCCTTGAGTAAGAGGAAACCAGTAACAGTAACGGCTGCTCTCTATTAGCATTTGACTTGCTGGCCACTGCGCCTACCCCAGAGCACGTGATACACACCTCACCACAACAGGCAGGCAGTGTCGTCCCCATTTTATTTGTGAGGAAGCTGAGACTTAAGCAAGGGGTGGTGACTCATCCAGGTTCACCCAGTGAAGAAAGCTCGGTTCCAGTCCAAGCCCCCTCTGGGTCAGTAGTCTGAACCTTCGGATGTTTGGATGTTTTCCCTGTAGAGAAAGTGTTGGTGGAGACCTGGGGTTAGGTAGATGTGAAGAAGACTGAAGAGCTGAAGCCATAGGGATTAGTGATGAGTCCTCTGGGACCTGGAAGAAGCCACCAGGTCATCACAGTGGAACTAGATCCTTCAGGCAGGCCCGGTCAATGCTGTGGGTCTAAAGACACTCTTCAGTCTCTTTAGTTGCCCCAGGTTAGAGGGAGCAAGAAGGGGAGTGGTGGAATTGGGCCAGGCTGAGCTGGGCCAGGCTGAGCTAGCGTCCTCCCTTAAAAGTCAAATATAAGCTTGTGCTGCCACCTAGTGGCAGGAGCGGGCATGACAGGTGAGGGTCACCTGCTCACTACAGGTAAACAGATAAGATCCCCAAAAGCTGGGAGCTCTCCCCTTGTTCATCACCCCCTACCCTCCCAGGCTGGCAGGGACTTCCATTTTTCCCTCAGTCACTGAATGATCTTGGCCAGTCTTTTACCCTCTGGACCTCACTTTCCCAGGCTGAACAATGGGTGGGCTGACCTCCTATCCTCCCCTACCCCTTGCCCAGGAGTCTGGACCGCCTGGATTCAGTGGACATGCTGCTGCCTTCCAAGTGTCCAAGCTGGGAAGAGGACTACAACCCCATCAGTGACAGCCTCAATGACTCCAGCTGTATCAGCCAGGTGAGGTGGCTGGAAGCTCAGTGGGCTTGGGAGAGCCCCAGCTCCTGCTCAGGAGGATAGTCGTCCAGGCCCAGCCCTTCCCATCTGATCCCCGGATGTCTACACTGTGCTTCTGTTTGGCCTTTGTTCCTGAAGCCACCTCTGTATGTCTCTCTGCTCCACTGACTGTCCTGTGGCTGGAGAGCATTGTCACAGGGTCTGATACACATCTCCTGAGCTGGGGATCCAGGGAGGACACCTAAAACTGCTGCCAGTAGGGGCTCTGGCCCTATCAGCTCCTACTGGGTTCAGAGCCATGGGGTATAAAACGAAAGGTTTGGGTTCAAGTCCCATTCTTGTCACTGATGGTAGGAAACCAGGTCAAGTCCCCTCCCCTCCCTGTGCCTGTTTCTTGATTTAGGACAAGAGGAGGGTAATTCCTGTTTCAGTGTTGTGAGGAATAAATAGGATGAAAAACTTAATATGTTCAGCAAAGCATGGCTCTCTTTATGCTTACTATTATCATCTTGCTGTGTGACCTTGGGCAAGTTACTTCTCAACCCTGAGCCCCCCTGCTCAGTGGGAAGCTTGACATCCAGGGCCCAGCCAGCTCTGCCATTGATGGGGAGAAATACACTGCTGCACTTTTCACCTGCCTGCAGCATTCTCAACTGTCAGTTCCTTGAACCCTCCCAGCCACCCCAAAGATGGCCTTTTTGTCCACAACCCCATTGCCCAAATGAGGAAACTGAGGTTCAGAGAGGTGAGGTCACACAGCTAGGAGGAGGGAAAGCTGAGCAGGGACCCAGTCCCTGCCATGTGCACAATACTTTAGTGCTTGCGAAGGGAGACAGCCGAGGCTGAGGGCTCCCTGCGTGCCGTGGACAGGGAGATGAGCCCAGAGAGGACAGGCGTGTGGGCAGCAGCGCAGGCAGCCTCCTCTCTAGGAGGGAACAGGCCTTGGCCCCTCGGGTATAGGTCCAGAGCCAGGGCCAGGGGACCCCTTAGAAGGCTTGAGAGCCTGGCTTGGAGCTTGGTGGTAAAGCGCTAGCCTCCTGTGCCCAGCACCACAAAAAAGAAAGAAAGGGAGGAAGGAAAGCGAGAGAAAGGCAGGCTTGGGGACCCCCACCACTCCATTATTCTTGGCCTGGCCAAACCCTTCCCCCAACTCTCCAAACACCAGTCTGAATTTGGACGTGGGAAGGGGTGGAGCACCGCAGCCCCCAGCACTCTGCCCCTAACACTTTCATCCAGGCCCCAACAAGTCCCTTCTGCACAACTGTCCTGGCCTTCAGACTGACCCTTCCAAGTGTTCTTAGCAGTCAGGAGCAGCTTCAAGCCCTCCCAGGGCTCCCACATCACCCCAAGGGAAAGCCAGGGTCATCCCTTGGACCTGGGAGCCTCTCTAAGACCCAGGCCCTGCCTCCCTCCCAGGCCCTGTCTCATCCTGCTCCAGCTGGGCTCACCTCCCCTCTGCTCCTTGCACACCAGGGCCACACCTCTTCCTACTCAGGTCACTGTTCTCTTGCCAGGGAGTGTTCTGCCCTCAAAATCTTTGCACAGCTGGCTCTCAGATTAAATGTCACTTCCTCAGGAGGCCTTCCTGGGTCACCACAGTAGCTTCCCCCACCCCCATGCTGTTTCTGTGCCCTGCCGTAGGCTCTCAGTACAGGAATTATATTAGTTTATTCACTTACTGTCTGGTCAGTTCTTACAACTGGGATCTTCCTATAGGCAGGGACCATGTTGTCCTGTCCCCCCGCCGCGTCCCTCACACCTGACACATGCTCAGTAGGTGTTTACAGAACAGGCACGTCCCTCCCTGACTCTCCCATATCGTGTTGTCTCCTTCCTGGGCCTTCTGTTTCTCTGGGCCCCTCTGTTTTTCTGTCTTATCTCCCTCCTTCACATTGTCCTCCAACTCTCTCAAGTGTGTATCGATCTCCATATGTCTCTCTGTGTCTCCGTCCCTCACCTGTCCCCAGCACCTGGAACACCTTTTCCTTTTGACTACAAAGAAAGTCTCAAGGAATGGGCCAGGCTGGGGACTCAGGCAGATCTCACCCATCGCTCCTTGCCCAATCCTGGCTCTCTCCTAGTCCAGGGTCCTCCTCCCCTCCCCAAGCCCTCATATCTAGAAGGTTTAACCACCCGAGCTGCATATGTAGCCCCAGAGTCAGAGATGTTCCAGCCTGGGGAGGAGACAGCTCTGGGTGCCATCCCTAATCTGCATATCAAGGTGGGCTGCCTGCTCAGGGGGAAAGGCAGCAAAGTATCCATGGTCCCAGGGGCTAGACCAAGAAAAGGACTTATAAATAGCAGATCACAAGTCCTCAGTAATGTCCAGCCCCAGGAATGAGCCTCCCATCCCTAGAGGAAGCCAAGTGATATTGCCTAGCATCTGGGCCCCAGCCATTCTGGGGAGGAGGTTAGATCAGCTAACCTTAAGTTCCCTGGCACCTGAACCTGAATCACCCAGCCCAGCCCCCACCCTGGCCCTCCCATAACCCTCACCCTCTCTTTCCTGCAGATTTTTGGACAGGCCTCCCTGATCCCCCAGTTGTTTGGCCATGAGCAACAGGTCAGTATATTCACTATTCTCATGCATCCAAATCCAAAGTCCAGGGCTAGGCCTTAGGTCTGTGTCTGAATGGGCCTAGCACCAACCTGGGTAGAACCATGACAGGAAAGCCCCTCCAGTGCAGATGGAATTGAGACTCACATGGGTATACTGACCCTCCACTCACCACTGGTTGCTTCATTCCTCTGTGCCTTAGTTTCCTCTTCTCAGAGAGAGAGAGAGAGAGACAGAAGAGAGAGAGAGCGAGAGCGAGCTAGGTCCTATTGGATAAGAAATAATTTCAGGACAATAGGAAGTATTCCCTAACAGTCCTCTGACTCCCTCCCTCCCTCCCTCCCTCCTCTCCTCCCCTCCCCCTAAGCCTGGGGAGACTGTTTTGTTTGGATAGGGGGCTGCCAGGTCCCTGCTCCCAGATTCCCTGACTGTCCTCTTCTCCAGAGCCCCAGCAGAACCTTTAAGGACTTGAGGGTGTTGAAGTGAATGGAAAGACTTTTCAACTTTACAAAAGTTGGCAGAGGCAGCACAGTCATGGCACTGCCTGGCTGCCCAGAGAGTCCCCCTCCCATGAACACTTATCCTGCCCCTGGAAGAGGCCCTCTTTCCCTACTAATCCCAAATCCAGAAAGTGGGGCAGGAAAACTGCTCTGAGCTCAACCCCTCATTATAGCCAAGAGTGGACAAGGGACTTGTCCAAGGGCACATATCACACAGAGCAAAGCCAGGACCAGACCATCTCCTGATTCCCACTGTAGATGCCTATGTGTCCCTCTCCCCATGTCATAGAAGCTATGTGTTCCTTTTGAACATATTATTCCAGAGAGTCTTCAGGTGACCTCTATATCCCCCTAACTGCAATAGGTTTGTGGTAAGAATGTGATGTGTTAGCATATAAAGCCCCTAGGACAGTCCCCAGCACACACAGGCCAGCAGCACTAACTAGCTGGTCTCCCTCCCTGCACCCCAGCTTGGGAACATCTTTTTTGTTTGTTTGTTTGTTTGGGAGATTGATTCCAGGGGTACTTAACCACTGAGCCACATCCCCAGCCCTTATTTTGTATTTTACTTAGAGACAGAGGCTCACTGAGTTGCTTAGGGCCTCACTAAGTTGCTGAGGCTGGCTTTGAACTTGCCATCCTCCTGCCTCAGCCTCCCAAGCTGCTGGGATTACAGGCGTGCACCCCCATGCCCAGCACTTGGGAGCATCTTAACCAACATTTGTAAATCCTTGCACACAGCCTATGTAGCTGCCTGTGTTTACAGGTACAAGTGGCCAGGTGCTTACTCTCCCAGACTCTGTTCTAAGCACCAGTTAGTTCATTGGATCTTGACACTAGAATTAACCCCATTTTATAAATTAAAACTGAGGCACAGAATGATTTAAGTGACTTGCCTGTGTTCAAATTGCAAGGAAACAATGGACCCAGGATTGAAACCCTGGCGGTCTGGTTCCAGAGCTGTGTTGTTATGGTGTAATCCCAAAGCAAGGTCTCCTTGCCCTTGGCATTCACAAAGGTCTCCCAAAATACAGTTTGCAGCTTCGGTGAATAAACACAGTTGCTTTAATACCCCCTCCAAGTGAATTTTACATGCCGTGTGGTCTATTTTAGCAGCTCTGTTCAGTAGAACTGTCTGCAGTGATGGAAAATGTTCTACAATCCATGCGTGTCTAAGGTAGCCACTGGTCACTAGTCACATGTGGCTTTTGAGCAAGTGAGAAAATGTCACTAGTATGACTATGGAACTTTATATGATTCTAAATAAATAAACCTAAATAGCCACATGTAGTTAGTTATATTAGACAGCACAAATTTAGACCTTTGCAAATACCTTCCAAATTGGTTGAGGATCCACTTAGTTGGTTTACCTGATGCACACTCAGACTAGTGCCCAGCCCAGACAGTTCTGTTGCATGCAGGTAATAAGGAAGGACTGACCCAGAGTGCACAACGATGGCCTGAGGTCACACAGCTACTCAGCTACTCCATTGATGAGATCCATCCTTTCCTCCACATGATGCTCCATCAGCTGGAATTCTCTCCTCCTGGAGCCCTAGGCTCCCCTCAGGGTCTCCACCTAGTGTTTATGTTTGGCCAACTGACTCCCCAATTTATATTGTGGTCCCCACTTACCAACATATCCTGAGACACGTGTCCTGAGTCAGAAAACCATTCTAGAACCCTCAGAGAGTGCATGTATGAGAGCCCTCTATGCTCGTGCCCCAAGGGTCCTAGATGACCATGATCTGGAGGAAATGGACCCATCTGATGAGATTGAACTAGATGTGAGATGGCAAACAGCATACCCACCTTCACTCTCAATACTGTCCCTGGCAGACGTCACTAATCAATCCTCACTGCTACCACCTCATTCCAGACTTATCTTTACTCCCCGGGCTATTGCATCAGCTTCGTTTCTGGCCTCTGCCTCCATTCCAGACACCCTCCCCAGCATCCATTCTGTATTCTGGGGCTAGAGTAACTTTCCCTAAATTATATTTGGAGGGTTGCTTCTGCTCCTTCCTCCCTGGTGCCCCTGAAAAATGTCTTCCCTTCACTGCCCCTCATTTTCGTTTGGGTTTGCTTTTGGCATTTCACCCCCTTGTAAAATGAATAAATCCAACGACAAAATGGTAAATATCCAGCACACCTACTGCTGATCCCATGCCAATATCCAAGGTGGACATTACTAATTGATGATAGACTTCTTTCACCCTGAATTGATATAAACTTAAACTGGCTGATCAATACGGACATGCTAGCAAGCTAGAATCTAGTTAACATCCTCCAATAGTCCCACTTTCTCCTCGCTGTAGGCACAGGGAAATTGAGGACCACAGAGGTGAGAGGAGCTGTTCATCTCTTAAGGGCTCCAAGTGAGGTGGGAGGAGGGGTGGGCTGTGTGAGGCCCACCAACTGTCCAGCCCTGCAGCTGAACGACCAGCAAGCATCCCTTCCCCCATAACGAGCAAAGCTGGACTGACGCCTGCCTTTGCCTGGACAGGTACGGGAAGCAGAGCTGAGTGACCAGTACGAGGCAGCCTGCGAATCAGCCTGTAGCGAAGCCGAATCGGCAGCGGCGGAGGCTCTAGACTTGCCCCTGCCCAGCTACTTCCGCTCCCGCAGCCACAGCTACCTGCGGGCCATCCAGGCAGGCTGCTCGCAGGAGGAGGACAGTGTCTCCCTTCAGTCCCTCTCCCCTCCGCCCAGCACAGGCAGCCTCAGCAACAGCCGCACGCTTCCAAGTGAGTATGGCGGTGATGGGGGGTGTTGTATTTTGTTTTTTCGAGAGGAACCACGCCTGGTGGGCCAGTCTGGGGGACTGCGTGGGAGGAAGCCACAGTGGGCTGGCCGCCCGGGGAAGCATGGTTGGGAGTGAAGGCAGAAGGCCTTGCCCTGTGCTTCCGACGGATTGGTGAACTGGAGCTCAAAGGAAGGGTGGCAGAAGCAGACTGGGTGGGGTCGGGGGTGCTTAGACTCCTGGCCTTGGTGGCTTCCTGGCTTCGAGCAGCCTGATGCTGGTAGGCAGGCTAACTGAAGTGGGCCTGCTGTTGGGATTAATTAAAGAAGCAAATCTTTGGGAGAGTAGGACCTGCAGAGAGGGCAGATCTGTGTGGAGCCTTCTCATAGGGAGTTTCAGGTCTCTCACACAATCAGGGAGAAGCCACTCTTCCTGATTCTTGTTCTGACTCCTCTGAAGATAACCCTTGTGTGATAGGAGGAAGAAGGAACACTGTGTGACCGATCAAGCCATGCAGTAATAGAAAAGTCAAGACCAAGAAAACACAGCAACATTTCTGGTTTAGTAGAGAGAAGAGAGAGATTTGAGCTTATTCTAGGTAGGCAGTTCTCCTCCCTGAGCCTCAGTTTCCCCATCTATAAATTGGGGATATAAGCCAGACCCCCAGAGAGCTCTTGGGGAGCTAAAGCTCACTGTCACCCTCCTATCATGTAGGAGCCAGGAGGCTCTATCTAAACACTCTGTGGTAGGAGTGCGACAAGTGTGGCCCTGGTTACTGGATCTTAGTCAGACTTGCTCCCTGACAATCAGGGCAACTGGGGCTGGATTGTTGTAGAAGAGATGGCCGTTTCATGGGCTCAGCCAGTGTTTGATGTCAGTTAATGAACTTGAATCCCACAGATATTCTACACACAGGTAGCCAATTTACTGATTAAATGAGCTGATCTCTGTAGGGGGCACAGCAAGAAACAACTTGCCCTGACTATTGCCCTTTAAACCCTTTCGGGTCTTCCTGCCCTGTCCCTGGGTGATACCTGGAGCAAATCCCTGAGCTCTTCTGGTCACTTTAAGAACTTAAAGATCAGTCTCCTTTTCAGTTACTAGGAGTCCTTTCTGATCCAATTTTACAACTTCAGCTTCGTCCAACTCAAATGACAGCTACCTGTGGCTAGGGCCAGTCATGGGCTGGGAAGCCCCCAGTGGAGAGCTGGATGGTGGTCAGTGTCTTCTCTCTGCCTTGTTCACCAGTGCTTATTTCTGGTTCCTCCATGTGGAATGGGAAGGAAAGGCAGATGGGGCAGGTGTTGTGTGGTGCTGGGACTCTCTGAATGTCAGGTGCTGACCCATGGCCTGATGGGCCTTCCTTGGGTCTTCTTTCCTGACGCAGGCAATGCCCTTCACTCCGCCCCTTCTTATTTTCCCTCAGCTTCTCTCTCTGGTCCCCACCTCCCCACTCAGCTTTTTTATTTTATTTATTTATTTATTGGTACTGAGGATTGGACCCAGGGGCACTTTACCACTGAGCCACACCCCCAGCCCTTTTTATTTTTTGAGACAGGATCTTATTAAGTTGTTCAGGGTCTCACTAAGTTGTTGAGGTGGGCTTTGAACTTGCAATACTCTGCCTCAGCCTCCTGAATCACTGGGTTTACAGGTGTGTGCCACCATGCCCGGTTCCATTCAGCCATTTTGCTAGGGACCCTGGCCTGCTAGCCAGGCATCTGGGGCAGAATCCTCTGACAACAATTCCAGTCCTACTGTCTCCCTTCATGATCACTTAACCAAGTGAGGATGAGGGCCCTGTCCCTGTGGAACATTGAAGTATGGACTGGTCTGCTATCGCCTTCCTTCTAGACCTGCTAACAGGGGTAGCCCTGCCAGCCTCTCTTTAGGGGTCTCCAAGCCAGAGCTGAGACCATGGTTCTATGGCCTCCAAATCTAAGGAAGCCCCATCAGACTCTCCCAGGCACTCTGCTGCAGTCCCATGAGAGCCTCTGGTAAAGAATCACATTCCCCACATTCTCACATACCTGAGAAGTTCTCTAAACATAATGTTAGCCTGAAAGGACAAACAGCATCCCCAGAAGTTCCCTGAAAATAAGCCTTCACTCACCAGTTCCCTCAAACCCCAGTTACTCTTGAATGGACTGAAGGTACATGATAGGCTACATGTCCCATAACTGTTTAGGCCCCTCTATTGGTCAGCTTTTGCCTCAATAATGCTGCATAACAAACAATCACAAAGTCAGTACAACACAATGACATTAACTTCTTGCTTGCAAGTTTGTCAGCTAGGACAGCTGTGTTCCACATCTCCCATTCTCCTCCTGGGACCAAAGAGTCCTCCTGGGATCAGTGGCCTAGCCAGGGCATGTTCTTATAGTGGTAGAAGACGGCAAGAAAGCAAGCCTAACCAGCTGCACAAGACTATTCAAGGCCCTGACTTGTCTGACATGTGCTGACATCCTATTGGCTAAGCAAGTCGTATGACTGAGCTCAAAGTCAAAGGATGAAGTACCCTCTCAGCCTTGTGTAAGACTGTACTTACATGGCAAAGGATGTGGATACAGACAGGGGTAAAGAACCAGGGTCAATAATTCAATCTGGCCAGGCATGGTGGTGCAAGCCTATAATCCCAGTGACTTGGGAGGCTGAGGTGGGAAGATCGCGAGTTCAAAGCCAGCCTAGCAAAAGCAAGGTGCTAAGCAACTCAGCGAGACCCTGTCTCTAAATAAAATACAAACTAGGGGTGGAGATGTGGCTCAGTGGTCAAGTGCTCCTCCTTTGTTCAATCCCCAGTACCCAAAAATACAAAATAAAAATAATAATTCAATCTGCTATAGTCCACTCTCTTGGCCACAGTTATTCACACCCTCCCACACAGAAAACACTATCCACGACCCCCCCCAGAGTTTCATCCAATCATGGCATCAAGACCTCATGACCTTTGTCAGGTCTGGATGTGGCTCCTCTTGATCAGTTGACCTATTATCTAAAAAACCAAGTCATCTTCTCATAGCCCAGCCCTCCCGCAGGCACAACATACTTTGGTAAAACAGGGACAGTCTAACTATAGTTCATACTCCTGTTCACTGCTTCATGGCAAGTCAGAAGTAATTCTCAACAAATTGTCAGGCAAATACTGTGGGATAGGGTTTATTCCTAGAATATCTCCTATAATGGAAAATATGCTCTTTGGGCAGCTGAACACCTTCCATATCCTGTTTCGTACCTGAAATCGGGAGCTAAATGTTTTTTTCACATCTCAGTTCCTTTAACCTAAGCTGATCAGTGTTATCCATGCACCTATCTCAAACACTATGTGTTTTCTTTCTTTTTTTTAAGTAAATTCAGTCATATATATATATGTTTATTTTATTCTTTTTTTTTTTTTTTGGCTAAGGATGGAACCCAGTGCCTCACAGGTGCTAAGCAAGTGCTCTACCACTGAGCCACAACCCCAGCCCACAGTATAGATTTTCTATGTACTCCATGTGCCAAAGCCACAGCCACAATTAGGTCTGAATCATGCCACGCCCTCTTGACTTAATTATGCCTTCTTTAGGTATAGTAGACTTCTTCGAGACCATTTCCTTAAGCTTTCTGGGTGTTCTTTTGACCTGATGGTACTAGTGGTACCTGGAGAGTGTTAATAAAAGGTGTTATAACCACACCCTGAATTTGGTTTGGTTCCCATTATGTATCTTAACCAGTATCTTAACCTTAGTTTGATCTTTATCCCCAGGCTGTATCTTAATTTGAGAATGATTTACTGGCTGGAGAAATTGCAGTTAACAGACTTATTTTCCAGCTCAGCAAGTTCTGGGCCTTCTCTATTTAAATACTCTCTACAGATTGGCCATTTCTTTTGTGAATTCCTCTCTTTCTTGTGCTTATCAAAAGCAGCTAAAAGGAGTCAGCTCTTGCTTTCAACATTTTGCCTGAAAACTATCTTTCCCAAATCTATCTGTTCTCCTCAAATTACTGTAGATGACAGTTTCACCAAGAGTTTGGACCCACACATAATCCTGAGGATCTTTTTTCAAGCCCCTTATCACACTTCACTCACTGTTTACTCACCACTTGGTCCTGGAGCTAATGCAACATATTTTCGGTTTTTATTGCTATCACACTTCACTTTGGGTACCAATTTGTATCAGTCAACTATTATCACAGTGATGCTGTGTAACAAGCACATGATTTCAACAGCACACAATAATAAGCATTTGTTCTCATTCATGAGTTTGCAGGTCAGCTGTTTTTGCTCTATGTGTCCTACATCTTGGGACCAAAGGGTGCTCTGGAATCAGTGACCTAGCCAGGGCTTGTTCTTCCCATAGTAATGGCAGAAATATTCAAGGCAACCTCATTGTGCAAACACATTTCAAGTTTCTCTCTGATCCAGTTGATCAAAGTAAGTTACATGAGTCCAAAACCAAAGTCCAGTAAAATATATTCCACTCTTAGTGAAAGCAACTGTGGTAACAGCAAACAGCATGACTACAAATAGGAGCTGAGAATTGATGCCAATAATCCAATCAATCACAGCACCCCAGCACATCCCATATGTATGATACAGCTGTGGACACTAAATATAGAAATGTGGGGCTCCAGGTATTCTCCATTTGGAGGCTTTAGCCCAAATCAAGGTAGTTAAGAAGGTATCATTTAGCAATGTCTCATGGCTACCCAGACTCATGTGCCCGTATGGACCTACTTATAGACTTATATCAAGTCTTGTGCTCCTCGACCTGTATGTGGTATGAAAACAGATGTAAAAACATGTGCATACTGATATTCTTATATGTACACATATATACCTAACATGAACATACACCTGCATGCACACTCCTGTACATGTGTCTCCTCCAGGGCCCATGCCCCGCTTCCAAACCTTGAGGAAAGCATGCCTTTGGTGTATACTGGAACCACCAAAAAATTTGACCTCCCAGTTTCCCCTCAGTACCCACTGCAGACCACTGCAAACTTGCCCTTCCTTCCTCT